GCTGATCAAGGCATATTTTCATTTAGCTCATCGAAGGAGCTCCGACAAATCTCGAAGCCATGAAAGGTGTCAAGGCGCTCATGTACGAGCGACTGGGAGGTGATGAAAAATTGATCGAAAAGCTGGTGCCAAATTGGTCGCTTGGTTGTAAGTGGCCCCAGTTGATTTCTTGAATGGAAAACAAAAACCCAATCCCCAATGCCCAGTTGATATTACGGGTGACCACTGGCTAATAAATTATACAACACACAGGTCGGCGTCTAACCCCCGGCACGGGATATCTCGAGTGCTTGAAGCAAGACAACGCCGAGCTTGTCGACGACGCCATCGTCGAGATTACCGAGACCGGTATCCGTACAGCGGACGGTAAACATCGCGAATTCGATGCGATCGTCATGGCCACGGGCTTTGACGTCTCCTTCAGGCCCAGGTGGCAGCAACTCGGGCGCAAGGGGCGGTCCCTCGCCGACGAGTGGAAGGACGAGCCTACCAGCTACTTCTCCCTCGCTACCAACGGCCAGCCCAACTATTTCATGTTCATGGGCCCGGCGGGACCAGTGGGACACGGAAGCCTGACGTCGGCAATTGACTGGACGGCGGACTATGTGCTGAAGTGGCTGGTCAAAATGACCCGGGAAGATATCAGATCGTTCGAGGTCAAGGCCCAAGTCCAGAATGATTGGAACGTATGGGGTGATGAACTCATGAAGCGGACTGTCTGGTCCAGTGGATGCAGGTGAGTGCCAAAGTCAAGGCAAAGGCAAAAAGCACAAGCTTTATGCTTTTTTCCCTCGGGCGTTTTTCTGGAACATCCAGGTTTGGTCCCCCTTCGGACTTTTGAACTAATTTTGCTGCCTTTTCAGGAGTTGGTACAAGAACGGAAAAGTCGATGGCAGAGTGACGGCCTTATACCCTGGAAGCATCCTGCATTATGTGAGTACTTGCCTTATTGACCGAGATTGACGGTGGATTGACAACCCTTTTAGAAAGACATGGTGGAACATATTCGTGGAGAAGATTTTGACATCGACTACCGGAGCAAGGTAAGGGATTTTCGTTCATTGCTTATGTACATTGAGACGATCGAGTTATCTAATGTGCGGTCGTCTTCGCAGAATCGCTGGAGATTTCTGGGTAATGGCTTTACCCAGCTGGAGGTCGAGAATGGAGATTTAGGATACTATGTCCCCTGCTAGATGGCCGACACTAGATAGTGAATGTCGCTCTGGTATCTAGTTAGACAGGTCACCCACACGCTTTCGGAGGTGTAATAAAGAGAGAAATCGAGACAAAAATTCAACATCTTAACTTTCCATCATGTAAGGAAAGACATCGTGAGGCAGTCCAAAGTCCAGTGGCAGCACGCTGAGAAGATCTTGATCGCAGAATTCGGGCACATTGAGAAACTGGTGGTGGAGTGGCATGTCCGCGAGCACTCCCGCATCCAACATGTTTGCCGATGGACTTGATGCCCTTTGATCTTGGTAATTGTTCAGAGAGACCTGTTCGTGCTGAGACTCTCTGTGGATGCCCTGCCCGGCGCGGAGGGTAGTTTCTCGCTGGGTCGGACCAGAACCACTCTGATACGGATCGCCCAGGGCCGGTTGGGGGACCTGTGTCTGACTTCTCTTCTCCATGTTCTTGAATATCGTTTCAAACAATTTCATGATCCAGTCACACGCCGGCCACGTCTTTGCAATCTCGGCACAGGCGAGGAGCAAAAGACGTGCCTTGTGTTCGGCAAGCTTTCGCTGCATGCTGTCCGGACTTCGCGCCATGAGCACATACATGGTCAGCGCCGAGAACAGAGTTGGGCATCTGTTTTGTCTCAGTCATCGTAAAAACCTGGAACAAAGGGGGTGGGAGCGTTGGAGGCCTTACATTTGCAATTGCGACTTACGAAGCAGACCCAATGCAAGGAAATCATCAGCAATGGCAGTAATCCTCCTCGTGGCAGTGTATGCTGGCGACTGGAGCAGTTTCTTGTCGACCACGATTTTGCTGTTCTCAGGGCGATGTAGCAGGATGAGGTGATGACTATACGATGGAGTCAGCATGAGGGATCTTGCCCAGTGGTAGACAGAAGTCTGAAGCTCGACGGACTTGTAACTCAAATCCAGCATCTTGGGCCAGAAGCCACCGTCCTCTTCCCCGTCACCATCCTGCAGTTCCGGGGACAACTGCTGTCGCCACTCCAGTAACTGAGAGCCGAGCTCTTCACAGCTCGGTCTCTGTCTTGATGGGCTTGTGGAAAACTTTGCCAGTGTGATTGCACCAACTACCGCTCGTTAGCTCTCGGTCTCAACTTCTTTAATTCGCACACTGATGGGACACATACAAATGACCGAAAGCTTGCTCATTGCGATCGCGAAGAGGATATGGACCCTGCTACTCCGTCCATAAAGTGTTGACAGTGTTGGGTTCTGCGCAAGATCATCTTCAAAATCCGACTCATCGAGGGGTTCGACGTCGTTATCATCATCTCGAATGCGCATGGGGCGGCCAATGTTGCCAGAACAGTGGCGGTCTCGGACCTGCTACCATTAGATGAAGACCCTCCACTAAGTGATAGGAATTCTCACGTAGAGTGACCACCAAATTCGTTTCCACAGCCTGCGATCTCGAGGCGTCAATGAAGAATCTTTGGTTCTGGTGGTGTGTGTTAGTCTCTAAAACACCTGATGATCAGAGCCGTTGAATGCGTACGTTCTGTGCATTCCTTTGCCTTGAGCGTTGCCGATAGCTATCGAAAGCCAATAGAACATATCCTTTTCGTCCGTGGCGCCCTTCCACAAGAAACTTAGTAGGAAGGTAGCCTGAACCAGGGTAACCTTGTTGGTTTCGTAATCTGCGTCATGAAGAGCTTTGGCACGTTTGAGGAAGACTTTGCGAGCTGCGTTTCGGCTCTCAAATCCGGATTCGGCAATCACATCTTCCTCGCACATCGTGCTCGAAACAGCGTAGATGGCGTGCAATATGAGAAGTGACAACTGATTCGACTCGTATAGCTGTGCAAAATGCTCTCGATCGAAGATGGGAAATGCCGGATAGACGCAGTCGAAGAAGGTCTGGATCAGCTTGTCGGAAACTCGTCGCTCGGGCAGCACGAAGGCTCCTCTGATATTGAGGACTTCCATCTCCTCCGCATCCAGTCTGGTGTCGTAGCCGAAATTGTCAGGCTTATCGCCGACGGTCGCTGGCAGGGGGACCTGGAGGGAAGATGGAGAGCTGCCACTGATATCGGATGCTGCGTCTGCATTGATCACCTTTTGAACAACGTATGTCAACAGCCACGATTCTCCCAGATATATGCTTTGAAATCCTTGGATGTGGCGGGTTTCCGGAGGCGACAGGCACTGCTCACTCAGCCTCGCGTAGAGGTTCTCGGAGCCTTCTTTAGAAGGGCCTTCATTTCCTGCCGATGGCTGTGAAGGCGCGACACCGGAGCCAAAATCGAGTGGCTCGATCCTCAACGAGACTCCATCAACTGACTTGTTAAAGTCGAATGTGGAATCTGGCAGTCTTTGAGAAATCGGATGTTGCACGCTCTGAGCGGTCGTGGCGGCTTTCGAAGTATCGTGATCTGGTTGAAGACGGAAGCCCAACGAACGAGCCTGTGTGTTCTTGGTCCGTGGCCGTATATATCTGCCGTTGTCCCTCTCAGTTCAAATGTCGCTGGCGCAGGGGACGAGGTACTTACCGGCCTCTTTTCGATTCAATCAACTGGCACGAGACTTGTGCAGCGGCGCAATTCGAACATGGTTGAGAGTCATATGCATTGCAACGAATGCGCCGGGCATGGCAAAGGACACAGGCCACTCGTCCTCCACGGTGAGGTTGATTCGCTTGTTGTTGTGGTTGTGGTTGTGTTTGTGTTGGAGGTGCCTGCTTACCAGTGGAGGCACCGTCCATTTGGCATTACTTGTGGCGGCGAGTATCTAGGTCTAGGATTCTCGGATTGTGGACGGATAAGATCAAAGGCCACGGAGACAAGACAGGAAGCAAAGACGGGATATTATTTTTTGCGACTGTAATACCAAGCATAATGTAGATGCATGGAGGCACTGAGGAGGACTGATAATTAGGGTCCAGCACCCCACAAACCTATGGGTGCCACCCCGCATGCCTAAGCTTACCTAATAAATCAAGAGGAGTGGCTCTGGGTGGCTCGCTTGTTGGGGAACTGGCCAGGGAGTGAGGAGAGGGGCCCCGGGGGGACCTTGTAACTAGAGTAGTTGGTGCCTGGCACTACATGTAACAGGGGTCACATGGTGCAGAATGCCACGTCCTGGTCCCAACTGAGGTATGTACCTCCCTTGCTGTTTAGACTACAATTTTGCCCTGGTCCTTTATGCGTCTCTCCGGGCAGTCTATCTGAGTTTGAGGGCGGACTGGAACTGCTCATAGATTCGATCTTGTTGTTTCCCTTGAAACTCCCAGATATGAGCTCGTCATCTTTCATGAGAGGCGACCGCCGGACCAAGATTGATCTCTTGTGCCGTCCCAGTGATTAGTCGACCCGGCGCTGCAGAGAACCGCCTGCAGTGGGTGGTGTGCACTGTGGGCTACTCCCAATCCAGGCACTCAAGACGCCGTCTTGGCGCACTCTCTTTGGCCTCCCTGCATGGCGGGAACTTGGAAGCTGAGGCCCGGAGACATCGAAACCACTCGCGCCACTTTTCGGGATCAGATACGTTGGCCATACGACTCGACCTAGTCTTTGTGGTATCGCTCACGGTCATGATCATGTTGTGCGCAGACTCCACCGGAGGCTGGCCCAGCGAGGAGGTCGATCAACTGACAATGGAGCCGCTCGCGTTTACAGACGCAAGGGCTGCGACTTTACTTCCAATGGCCAGGAACACATCAAGAGTATATACATCCCAGTTGAATAGTTGCTCAACAACTCTACTCACGTCGTCGCTTACTCCGAGGTGCTTAGCAAGTCCCAACCCCTGATCCTGTTCTTTCATTGCACTCAGCAAGCAGAACCACAAAACATGAACCCTCTCCCCCGAAACTCCAAGGTTGAGGAGACCATCGCTCAGATTAATCGGGACCTTGAAACACTCCCAGACAGGTATGGTTGGCCTCGACAGAGTGCGAATGGGTATCGTATTCAGGAGCAGCTATCTGGCACAGAACGACCCATACGAATCATTCATGTCGGAGCAGGCGCATCAGGGATATGCTTCTCAAAATTTGCGGCCGAGTCGCTGCACAACGCGGAATGGGTATGCTATGATAAAAACGCCGATATTGGGGGTACATGGCTGGAGAACAGGTGAGCTGGCGATGTAGGACTCCAGAGGGAAAAAATAAGCGCCGTCGAACTGATGTGGATGGGATGCAGATACCCAGGATGTGCCTGCGACATCCCTTCCGTGAACTATCAGGTATCAATCCCCCCTTGAGTCTTGCTGGCGCGGCGTTGCTCCTATCTTAACCCATCACAGTTTACCTGGGCACGAAAACCTGACTGGTCACACTTCTACTCATACTCGGAAGAAATCTGGCAATATTTTGCCGACGTTGTCGAGCGGTTCCAGCTACGCAAGTACATGAAATTGAATCACGAGATCATCAATGCTACCTGGGACGAGGACCTTGGGGTGTGGAACGTGCAGGTCAAAAATCTCATAACAAATGAGGTGTTTGTGGATCAAGCCGAAATCCTCATCAATGGCGGAGGAGTACTGAAGTATAAAGAGCACCCAAATCTGGACATTGGTCAGAAGGTCCTAGAGACTAACCAGTGCGTACACAGCAATTGGAAGTGGCCAGAAATTCAAGGACTGCACAACTTTGAAGGCATACTTTGTCATACGGCAAACTACCCTGTGAACACCACTTTGGACAATAAACGGGTTGCAGTCATCGGCGTTGGAAGCAGCGGCATTCAGGTCACAGCAAACATTGCGTCCAAGGTCAAAAAGCTATATACCTGGGTACGGTCACCGACATGGATCACTGCCGGATTCGCTCAAAAGTATGCTGGACCGAATGGCGAGAACTTCAAATGTGAGCATCTATAATCTTTGCAGGCGTGAACAGTTCATCACCAACGGGGGCTGATGGGGATTGCAGACACAGAAAAACAAAAAAGAGACTTCGCCGAGAACTTTCCCGAATATGTGGCATACACCAAAGCCATTGAAGACGAACTCAATCAGCGATTCAAGTTCATTCTAGCAGGTACACCTGAAGCGCAAGAGGCAAAGGAGGTATGGCATTTGAATCCCCCGATATATTCCAGGTATAGGCAGCGATGGGCATTTCAGCTGACGCACTATTCTGAAATTTCCATCCAGTTTTCCACACAACAAATGCATGAGAAGCTGAACGGTCGTAAGGATCTGATTGACACGATTGTCCCCACAACCTTTGGGGTAGGTTGTCGGCGACCAACGGTAAGAATCAAGAATCGTCCTCCTCTGGAAAAGTGTTTCCTGTGCTCATGACCAAGTACAGCCAGGAAACGGATTTTTGGAAGCCCTGACCCTTCCACATGTCACGACTTTCAGCAAAGAGATGAAAAGAGTCACCTCGAAAGGGTTTATCGATCACGATGGACAGGAACATGAAGTCGATGTTATCATCTGTGCCACGGGGTATGTCTCTTCAGGCCCGGTTTTTGTTTTTGAGCTCATGGACAGCCTACTGAAATGTCGTCGTATGACAAGATTCAATACATCATGGGTGCCTCGATTTCCCATCGTGGCGAGAGGTAAGAATGTCCAAGACATTCAGAAGGAGAAGCCGATATCGTACTTGTCGATCGGGATTCCTGAAAGTAAGCACTAAGCCCCTAATAAATCGTTGCTTTATGGTTCCGACAAGGGGAAGCAACTGTGTTCTAACTTTGAAGCTAAATAGTCCCCAACTACTGGACCGTCACCGGTGCCTACGGCCCCCTGGGCCACGGGTCATTTCTGCCCATCATCGAACTACTCATGCATCATTTCATACAAGTGATCAAGAAGATGCAAACGGAAAACATCACGGCGATGGCCCCACGACGAGCCGTGTGCGACGCGTTCATAGAGCATGCGGATCTGTACCTCCAGCGCACGGCATGGGCGTCGGGGTGTCGCAGCTGGTTCAAACAGGGCAAGGAGGACGGACCCTTGGCCATGTGGCCCGGCTCGAGGCTTCTCTACTTTGAGTTGCTGGCTCAGCCGCGCTACGAGGACTACGACATCAAGTATCAGAGCGGCAATCCTTTTGGCTTCTTGGGCAATGGTTTTACAACCCGAGAGTATGATGGCAGAGACATCTCTTACTATCTGGGCACCAGGGACGCTCCTGGGGCCTTGATTTCTGCGACGATGAACGACGCCCCCGTTCGATCCGCCGAAGATTGACCAGCTGCCTAGTATCAAGGCCAACGGCGTGATCAACGGCGAAGTTCCCCATGTCCAGGAGATGGTTCATGTGAATGGGCATTGATCTGTAACAGTCTAGATAGATGAGCTCGAGCTGCTTTTCTCCGAATCAAAGCCAAGGAATGCATTTATATCTTAGACCATTAGCATGATGAATATTCTTTGTTGGTCTTTCTTCTTTCATCTCTGTCCATTGGGCTTCCTTTACATTGAAATTTCTAGATCAGGACGTGTTCCATTCTCAACAAAATATTTCATCACCTTGGTTCTTCTTTTGTCCAGAAGTCCAAGAGACAGAGACTCTCTCTCCCCGTCTCTCTCTCCTCAACTGAAATACATCCCACCGTCCACCAAGAGACTTTGGCCCGTGATGTTCCTCGATTTGTCACTGGCCAGGAAACTGACCGTCAAAGCGATATCCTCGGGCGTCAATCTCTGCTTGAGCGCCATGCGCGTCTGCACTGCGTGGTCATAAGTCGACCCCAGCGGTACGCCCGTGTTCTTAGAGACGCTGGCATCGATCTCGGTCCACATATCCGTCTCCACAGGGCCAGGACAGTACGCGTTGACATTGATGCCGTGCTGCGCGAGCTCCAGGGCCGTGACCTGCGTAAGGCCCCTGACAGCCCACTTGCTCGCCGAGTACGCCACGCCCGACACGGACGGGCGATAGCTGGCGTTCGAACAGGCGCCGATGATTTTGCCGCCTTTGCCCTGCTTGATCATCTGCTGGCCTGCTTCGCGGTAGCATAGGAACACACCCTTCGCGTTGACGGCCATCACGTCGTCCCACTCCGAGGTGGTCTGGTCAAAGAGCTTGTTTGGCTTGACGATCCCGGCGTTGGCGACGAGGACGTTCAGTTCGCCGAACTCGCGGACCGTTGATGCCACCATGGCCTTGACTTCGGTCTCATTGCTCACGTCGGTGAGGAGGCACAGGGCTCTGCGACCTGTTTCCTGCTCGATTTGCGCTTTGACCTGTTCGAGGTCGCGAGACCGCGCGGGGACGTCGACAAGGGCGATGTTGAATCCGTCAGCTGCCAGTTGCACGGAGATGGCTCTGCCAATTCCCCCGGCGGCCCCTGTGACTATTGCTACCGACATATTGACTTCTCTCCTCTCTTTCTCTTTCTCTCAGGTCGAAGGCTGAGTTGTCTTGATGTCACACCCGTTGCCGGGATTGTCACTGTGACATTGAATTAGTACGTGTACAAGGACCTTTTGACTATGCAGGAAATATCGTATGATGAATCGTCAATTCACGAGAAAACTTCGGGAGCGCCTCAGGTATCAAAACAAGTTGTCCTAAGTGTCCCAGAAATTCTGGGCGGTCACGACCACGGCCACGGCCACTCCACACACACCCTGTTTTGCGTCACTCGCCGTTTCCTCTACCTTTTTTTTTCCAAGTGGATATGATTATGGACGCCTCTCGCAGCAGCATCATGTCTAGTCGGCTTGTTACCTCTTGTGGTAGACGATGAGAGTCCCGCCAAGATGCCGGAGGGCTGGAGCTGGTTATTGGCCGAGACTGACCTCTATTGACCTCTACTCACCTATCTGTGGCAATAGTGTGGGCTATTCCAATTCGACATGTGTATGACTGATACATACTCTCCTCAGTCAAGTTGGCCCACGCGTGTGCTTGATGCTTGGACTTGATGCTTGGGCTAGACCTGGCTCAAGCTCTGAGGCTCTTGCCGCCTGGAATCTCTATCTCTATTCACGCGCATCCAGCTACTCTCCTTCTGTGCTTTGAAAGAATTCTTTCTCGACCTTCTCTTTATCCCAGGGCACCAACCTCTGTAGCCTATGTCTTCAGCCATGGGTGCGGTACCAGCATACAGGCCACCGCCAGGCCTACGGACAAGGCTACACGACTTTAAGGATCATCTAAGTAGGAGATACAAGGTCAAGTTAGGTAGGTCTGCAAGTCCAAGGAAATCGGCTCTGCAGGTTTGCAGAAGATAATGCCCGAAGTTTTCATGGTATCAGCACTGGCTCACGAGACATGGCACAGGGAGCTATGAGGACCTGCACAAGTTTTCCATCACTCGTATGAGCGATTTCTGGTCGAGTTTCTGGGACTACTTCGAGGTTATCGGATCAGACAAGCCGGCGCAGGTAAGGTAGCTTCGAAACTTGGACATCCTTGCTACTTTGACCGGCCACTCACATGGAACACATGGTTGTTGGTAGGCGATTGATGAAAACGCGCGCATCGATGAATTTCCAACGTTCTTCAAAGGGGCGAAGATCAATTTCGCGGAGAATGTACTTGGCAGGAAACAAAGTGGCACCGCGATCATCAACATGCGAGAAGATAACATGTGGAGCCCAGAGATCTACACGTGGCAAGACTTGGAAGAGCTGGTGAAGAAGTACGCTGATGCTCTGAAAGCATCTGGACTACAACGGGGGGAGGTTGTCACAGGTGCGTAAACCTGGAATCCCTTTCTGAATTGCTCTTGTTGTACCTTACCTAACCACCGCTGAAACATTGGAGCAGTTGTTGGTGGAAACAATGTACGATCCCTGGCTCTGCTTTTGGCGACCGGGGCACTCGGGGCACTCTTTTCTTCGTTTGCGACCGATATTGGTGACAAGGCACTTGAGGATCGTCTCAAGGTCCTCGAGCCCCGGATCTTAATTGCTGAGACGGTATATTCATACAATGGGAAGAGGATCGACATCAGCGGCAAGATCGCAAACGCTTCCAGGAAAGTTCAATTGGTGAACAGAAACTGCGAGCTTATCGTAGTAGACGACGAAGGATCGATATCATCATCAACGTCAATTACTGCGTGGTACGTGAGCAGCGTCACTCCGTCAATTGACAGTTGAAAGCACCCTTTCGAGGATTAAGCTCGCTGACTTCCAAGTTCACAGCGTCACCTTCGATACTTTTCTTGGTCGTGCAACAGGAACAAGAACAGCCAGACTCGAGTTTGAACAAGTCGAGTTTTCGACTCCCTTCATCGTCATGTTCTCTTCGGGAACCACGGGAGCTCCCAAAGGCATCGTCCATTCCCATGGTGTACGGATCCCCCTTTTGACATCAACAGAATTGGCCTTGTTAAAGGTGGTGACATGTGTTGAATTGGCATCTAGGGTTTGGTCCTGAACGGACTAAAAGAACACGTTCTCCACCACAACTTGGGGCCGGACGATATGCATTTTCACTATAGTGGAGTGAGGTTATAGCCTTGTACCCTTTAGCATGGTAGCCTCTCTGACAATCTTCATCAACCAGATCGGCTGGACTCTTTGGAACATTTCACTCGGAGCTCTGCTTGCTGGCTCAAAGATGGTATTGTACGACGGCAGCCCATTCTTTCCCAGCGCTGAGGGCTTTTTGAAGGCCCTCTTCTCTCACAGGTAAGTCACACAGTCAACACACTAGAGCCACCGTAACAACTCGAAATTGGCAATTGAAATTGACTGATGACCCGGCATCCACGGGTACAGGGTGACATCCTTTGGCGCTGGCCCGAGATACTTTTCAGAACTGCAGAAACTCGGCTTAACACCCAGTATGTAATACAAAGCTCTCAAAGTGCTTGACTGGAGAGGGGCCACAACCTGGTAATTATCAGACTGACCGAGACAGGATCGTTCGCTTCTCATCTCCACACGGTCATATCAACCGGCGCCCTCCTCCCGGTTCCCCTTGCGAAATGGCTGGTCGAAGCCTTCGGTCCAATCTGTCAGATCAACATGTCCGGGGGTACTGAACTCTGCGGATCTTTTGTTAACGGCACCCCTGCCTTGCCATCGTATCCGGGTCAATGCTCGACTAAAGCCCTGGGATGCGACGTTGCAGTTTTCGGGCCCGATGGAACGGAAGTGGAAGATGGACAGAGCGGAGAGTTGGTCTGTCGCCGGCCGTTTCCTAATATGCCAGTCATGCTCTTGAAAGATCCTGGCCGGAAGAGATACTTGAACGCTTATTTTGCGGGATACCCTCGTGAGAACGCCTCGATTCTCTTCTTTGATCCTCGCCAGCTTTTGTTTTTTACTATTTGTCAAACTAACTGCTAACGAGTTGACTTGAAAATACAGATGTTTGGACCCACGGTGATTTTGCAAAGGTCGATCCTGAGACTGGAGGCATTTACATCCTTGGACGATCGTAGGTTTTGCTATGAGTACAAGAAAACTCACTCGCTGACAGCGTGACCACAGCGACGGCGTGCTGAATCCTTCCGGCGTACGATTTGGCAGCTCCGACATCTACAACGTACTCCTCACGCCTCGATTCTCGCAGTCCATCTCCGACGTGTGTGTCGTCGGCCAACAGAGAAGCCTCGCTCCATACTTTGACTCGGTCGAACGCGTCGTGCTCTTCGTCAAGTGCACACCGTCGTACCAGCATTGCACACATCATCCCTGGATCCTGGATCCCGACTTGGAACACGCGATCCGTGCGCAGATATCGCGGGATCTCAGCAGGAGACATGTTCCAACCTTCATCTTCCGGGTCCCCGAGGTGCCGTACAATGCGAATGGCAAGAAATTGGAGATCCAGGTCAAGGCGACAGTGTCTGGTGGAAGGGATGCTTTTGAAAAACTCAAGGCGACAGAAGAGGAGCGCAAGACGCTGGCTTGGTTTTTGCCGTTCTATCATATTGAGGATGTTGTGAAAGGGACTGAAAGACCGGTGGTGAAGTTATAGCGAGGGGGAGAGAGCGGGAGAGAGAGAGAAGCGAATAGAGTGTGATTATGATTCATTGAAAGGGACTTACTGTAGCAGGTTACTATATATACTGCCAGAAGCTATTCCAGGTATATATGAATGTTATTCCCTGTTGACAGCCCTACAGGAGGACTGTCGCATATGGCCCACCGTGTATGTAACTTGGTGACCGGGACCTGGATTCGACCATGTCTAATGTACCATGATTCAATTCAACTGGTACTCAAAGCAACCTCCTTCAAACCCTCCAATTCCTTCCCTCTCGCCTCATGGCTCTTGAGCGCTCTATCATAACAATCCGCCCCAAGCGGCAATCTCAAAACACCACCACCGCTGCTCAACCTCTCACCCAACCCAACTCCCATCACAACCTCAAAGATCCTCTGCGCCGCAGTCATCGGATCCCCAAACTTGTCGGGATCCACACTCTCAAACACCCCCAGCGTCTTACCCACAGGCTGTTCGTCCCCTCGATACGCCGCACTCGGCCGCACAATCTGCAACGCGTCCTTGCTGAAGAAATTCGTCCGAAACGCACCCGGCTCGACGATCAGCACGCGGATCCCCAGCCCCGCGACCTCTTTGGAGAGACTGTCCGACCACGCCTCCAGCGCGCATTTGGCTGCCGAGTAGATGGCGCATGTGGGGAGGGGGTCGAGGGCCGCTACGCTGGAGATATTGACGATCGTTGCTTTTGCCTTGTCTCCTCGACCACCACCACCACCACCACTACCACCACCGGCGGCGGCAGCGGCGGCAGCACGCTCACGCATCAGCGGCAACACAGCCTGTGTGGCCCTCACGGCACCCCAGAAATTCACCTCGAATTGGGCCTTCGCGCCGTCTTCGGGAATATCTTCCGCCGCGCCGAGGAGGGAGTATCCCGCATTGTTGACCAGGACATCGATCCCGTCGAACTCGGTCCACGCGCGCCGTACGAATGCGTCAATGTCTGGTTTCGACCAGGTCACGTCCAGAGTCAGCCAGCGGGCGTGGGGGTGCGCCGTGATTTCGCGCACGGCAGAGGGTGTTTTTGCTGGGTTGCGCGACGTGGCGATCACGTTGTGGCCTTGGCTGAGGATGTAGCGGGTGATGGCGAGGCCGAGGCCGGAGGAGGAGCCTGTGATGAGCCAGGTGGGCATTTTTGCCGAATGTTTTTCGCTTGATGTCGATTAAATAGATATAGAGGCAATATGTTCGAGGCTCAAAACTGTGTTCTGCTAAGGTTGTGCAGATGTGTGTGTGTGTGTGAGTGTGTGATATGTCTTTGTAGTGCCGAAGTAGGAGGCAGCCTTGCCCCTTGGGAGATTCCCGCGCAGTTCGGAGTTAAGGTTATTGAAATGATGTGTATAAGTGATGGACATTGGCCCCCCAACGACCATACCTCTGGACGCAATTCGTCTAGGGTCTAGGACGAGGAGGTTCGGATCTAGTGTCTACGAATACTGCTGGTACATACTTGGCCGACAGGATTGCGCGATCTCGTGTGTAAAATTTTTTAAACTATGAGAACATTTGACGTTTGAGATGGATCCGAGGTTCATGGCATGGGGCATGGTCAATGGATGGTGTTTGTTAGGTAGGACGCGGGTTCCGGGCTTGCTCTATTTTAGAGAGAGGTAAATACTAAAACGGCGACTTGGCAAACAGATCAGACTCCCTTCGATGGGGTGAATTGGGTGAGCAAGTGGCCGGTATCAAAGGTCTGCACTGCCTGCCAGACTTTCTCGGTGCGGCTGTCCCTTCTTTTCCAACGCTTGTGTGCTCTAAATTGCATTGGAAATTAGAACATAGGTAAACGCTTCTAGAAGCCGGGTAGCATTCTCTTTCTTTCTCATGTCTCTAAACAGTCCCTGCGGATGGGCCAAAGGTCAGCCTGGAGCAATCGGGTTTTGCGCACCCAAGCAGCCATCCAAGCCCCTCCACCTGGTCCTTTCGAGCCTTAATGCTCGCTTTCAACGTGGGAAAGAAGCTCCAGTGCCCATGCGGTAGGCCGGGGTACACATCCATCTTGGTTTTCACCTTGTATTCCTCACGCAACACGGCTTCGTAGATGAGCGAATCGTCACGCAGGGGATCCATCCCGTCGACCTGGAAATACGTCGGGGGCAAATCGCCATGACCGCGCGGGTGATTGAAGACGGCAAAATTGACCGAGTCATTCTCGTCGGGCTGATAGCCGCCCATGAACATGTCGAGCGCGGCCTCTGGAAGAACCGGCGCGTTTGCATTCTGCTCGTGCGAAATCCAGGATCGTCGGTACTGTTCGGGGATCTTTGCCTTCGGGCAGAGTAGCGGGATGGCGAGGTACAGGCCCGTCAAGGGAGGGGAGAAACCCTCGTCGCGAGCGCGGTGGGCCAGAACAGCGGCGATATTTGCGCCTGCGCTGGACCCGCCGACGACAAAACCCTTGTCGGGATTGGCGTTCCAGGACGCTGCGTTGCTCGCACACCATCTCAGCGCGTCCCAGCAGTCATTTGGGGCGTAGGGGAATGGATACCGTGGTCCCAGTCGATATGCGACGGCGACGCAGGTCGCGTTCAGAGCCAGTACGAGATTGCGACACGTCTGCTCTTCGCCCTCTGGGGAGCCGAGACAGAATCCTCCACCGTGGATGAGCATGACGAGAGGGCTACCCCTCCTCTCCCGACCTAGTATAATGCTCCTGGTGGTGGGTTGGAATAGCTTTGCCCGCAGAAAGGCCCCATCACGCGTCGGGTACTGGAGTTCGGTGCACTTGACTCCGGCGGGTGTTTCGCCCAGGAGGCCCTTTGCCCGCTCGGCATTCTCGAGGTACATGCGTGTGAATCCTTCTAGATTCGAGTAGTCGATGGCTGGAGGGGGGTTTTGCTCGAGTAGCTAAATATGCGCGAAGCAGCTCAGCAGTCAGCATTTATGGTCAGGAGAGCAGGAAATGTTGGAGCTTCGAACCTGGGAGTAAGAGAGGGGGGGCCCAGGGAGCAGCAACTGACCTCGTTGAGTTCGGCGTCAATCTGGCTTAATCCGAGCAGATACTCCTCCTGGTCTGGATATTCTGCCATGCTGTCACGGCAACAACTGCGAGCAGCGTATCGACTTGTGTCACTTACGGACGTAATTCAGCGTATGTTTAATCGTGGGAGGTGTCTGAACTCAGATCTTCTTTTGATGGTCCATAGGTGCATGTAGAAAAAAACCCCTAGAAAGTGGTGTCGTGAAAAAGGGACATCAAAGCAGGAGATTCATCTCTCTGTTCTTTTGCAAAGACACCACAACCAACACCAGCATCAGGGCTACGGTAGAAACACAGAAGAGATCCTGGTATAGTAGCGTCAAGTTTGGCCCACAGATCTGGCAATCCACCCACAATCGGTATGTACCTCAAGCATCGAGTGTTCCGACCAGGTTGGAACATAGACGCCGTCTCGGCATACCAGATCAACTAAGCAGTGACCCCGAGCGATACGACGACGGAGACACAGCCGAACCATGCTCTCAAGTCCGTGGCACACTGAACAGATCCATCCCCCCAGCGTGTCCAAAAATGCATCGGCTTCTGTGGAGGCCTCATGATTCTGCTTCTTTAGGTATCTTAAACTACGGATACCTCGAGAACACATCGCATTTCGCCTGGTCGAATTCTCGCATGATGGTTTCGACTCGTTTCTCAGACCTTGGTGTCACCTTTGCCGGGAAGTCGTTCGTGCAGACAATGAACCCTTCACTGTAGCCCGTTTTATAATTCATATCCAGCGGGATCGGGTTGCCGGTTGAATCAACGTCCTGTTCGAAATTAAACGCCCAAAGTAACTTGGCCATTCCAATCCACCGGTTGCGTTCGCCGAGGTGGATGCCGGGGCACAATCTTCTGCCGACGCCTGAGAAAGGAGATCTGGGTCAGCGACAAGGACATACATGCGAGATCAGACATACCGTAGTTATAGTGGTCTCGAGACTCATAGTCTGCCGAAGTGGCATATTCAGGTGCGAGACGCGTGTGCCCAGCGAAACGATCTGGAGTGAAACGTTCTGGCTCATGGATATACTTCTCATCGCTGTGCAAGCCCCATACGTTGAAGAAGACCGCGCTCCCTTTGGGCAAAAACATGCCATCGATGTGGGCATCTGGCAATAGATCAGAGGTTAGTAGAGGTCAGAGAAATTGTATTTAAAGTAAGGTTGTCTCGCCTGCAGAAAGAGTATGAGGAACCCCCAGCCCAGCCAGTGGCCGCCACCTCATAGACTCCTTCACGACCTGATTCACACAAGGCAGCTTCTCAAAGTCCGACCATTGAGGAGTGCGGTCCTCCCCGACTACACTATCGATCTCGGCCTGTGCTTTCTTCTGGAACTCCGGAAAGCATACAATAGCTTTGAGGAACGCCAGGAGTCCCGACGCCGTGGTATCTGAACCGCCTTCGATGACGATGCCCCCAAGGAAATAAAGCTGATGCTTGGTCAGCTCCAGCTTCCCTGCGTCTTGTTGGTCTAGAACTCGGTCCAGCATGGAGTCTCGTGGACCGAGGGAGTGTCTTCGTTTGATCACATCCGCGACAAGGTCTTCGTACAGAGAGTGCATTTCTTGTTTGACCCGATTTGCTCGAGACAACCAGTTTCCTAGGAACCGTTCTGGGATCCATTTGAGAAACGGGTAGAAGTCGACCGGAGGGGTGCTGCCTAACTCCATGACGAGTGACCAATGCTCCATGAGCTCGAACATTCGGTGCATATGCGGTGTCGAGATGTCCGGTGTACGAACCCCGAAAACTAAGAACTGTAATTAGCCCAGTACTGTAATCTGTTCCCTTTTCCATGATCTCGAACATGGGAGGTGATACCTAGACTCGTGATGATGCTGTTGGCGAACCGCTTTGGACGTTTCATCAAGCCCTCGGGTTCAATGACAGTATCCCGCAGCATCTGAACGGCCTCCGCATTCACCACGTCGATATGTTTCTTTTCACACATGGTCTCGGTGATGACTATCGCTGTGCCAGGGCCTAGCTTCAGAGAAAAGATTCCTCCGTACTGCTTTGCCCATTCGACAAATCTTCGTGGACGTTAGCTGACTGACTGACCACTTCACATTCCCACTCGTATTTTCCAATTGAGATACAGTATACGGAGTACTGACTTGAAGTGCGCGCCCTTGAATGGAATCTGATGGAGATTCCCCAGGATTGGCAGCGTAGGTGGTCCTAGTTCAAAAGATGTGAGCCTTTTTTGGCCCTGTCGATGAACGGTGGGATTCATACCTGGTGGATAGTTTCTCCCCCTCCTGCCCACCGTACAGAGAATGAATAAGAAAATACCGAGCACGGCGATGCTAGTAATATATGATGACCCAGTCAGCATCATGACGGTGAAATATGTAGGACGCGTATCAGAGCCTAGTTAGAGGTCGTGATCCAAAGGCCAAAGACTTCAAGATGGATAGACGTCAACCTTTTGTAATAGTTCGAACATTCGATCTGGGGCCCCGGAGCTATCGACCATGGGCGAAGGGCCAACATGGTCTTTAGGTAGGTATGTCCCGGAAATTCTGATCGTGCCAACCACCGACACAGTACTCCTGGGGTGCAATCCCCGTTCTAATCCGCGGAGTGATACTCCTCCCACTCTGTACCATACCCCGTGAGAGGAGGGCATTCCCCAATCACGATCCCCTGCTGCAGTGGATCCGCTTCATGGAGAATTTCCCATTTCGGCCTGGCGCAATATTTGACCCCACCTACTCAGCCTTGTGGGAACGAGGCTGAACAAAAAGAATACCCCAAGGTGCCGGAAAAACTTCCTCTTCCCGGCGAATTGCACGTTGCATGTTTCAACGAAAGCTATATACCATGTGCAAGTCTATACATTCAAAAAGTATATACGTCGGCGTGAGCAAGTGGTGATGAACGTCGATCTTGTCACATGGGATTTTCGTCGTGGGTTAGCTCTGTGTACACGTATGCTTCGTCCGGCTCCTGGAAAGATGCCCGAGATACTTTGTGTCTAGAAATGAATAAAACGCTGAATTTTCCCAAGGTTGATCTGATCTCGAGATGTGATACGAGGCACAATCTGCGTATTATTTTAAGGACTGATTCTAAGGATGGAGCGTCCTTTTTGTCGGGATGCAGGGATTGAGGCAATTCTCCGGATTCGGGGATTCTGCCAAGAGAATATCATTGGATGAGGTCCAGACCTCTGGAAATTTTGGCTTGTGAGCATCCCCGGTTTGCCGAGATTTTCGAACGCATACATTCATGTAGTTCAGGACGGGATGAATTTTCGCAGGGCTTCATGGAGACTAGTCACCACAGGGTTTTTAACTTGTTGGACCTGAGTCGTGATCACAATCTCACCAGCGGAACCACTTACTCCGGGATTCCATCCTGCTTGCCAAATACGAATAGTAGAATTTATACATTGATCTTGAACCGGGCCATCTGTCCTCGGAAAAGGATGAAGCGTCCTGTTTTTCCATGTCCAGACGTTGCAGTGCATCATGCGCAGAGGCTACTGGCTGGACTTCCCAAACCGTTCAAGTCAAACGACAACGGTAATAAATCCATGTCCCACACATTCGACAAGTCGACGTTTGGGAGGTATTGACCTTCTGCTTGCATGGCGCCCTCGCCTACGTGCTGAGATGAAGGGCTGGACGGTGTTCTGATGGAAGAATCATGCAAGGTCGAAGACGGTGAGACCGGTAACAGTGTAGAGAATCGTTTGGCCATCTCAGATTCTTTAGATCGCAGGCTCTGTGACTGGAGATTTAAACCTTCTTGAATGGCTGAAAGCAGTCCTGTAGCACAAGTTCCACGTCAGTCGACTCGGTCCATCAAACACAGGCGCATATACTCACGAATAACCACGTGACCTAGAGCCCAGTATCTTGCCATGTGGCTCAAAACCAAGGTCGTTACCTCGAGACAAGTTGGGGCCATCTCAGGCTGTTGAGAGCTTAGCGTCGCAGGAATCACCAAGGCACATGACATGATCGGATTGGTGAGAGGAATATACTCCGAGGGCCAGACCCGAGCAATGTGGACCAGGTATGATCTCAATCGGTGCTCTCTAGAAGCAGACGATTGGTATAGGTCATAGCCATCGCTGAGGTTGGGACTCGAGGAATGAAGTCTTGCGAGGAAAGTTTCGCTGCTGCGACTAGTTAGTGAATGAAAGAAGTACCTATACAGGACACAGAGAGAGAGATTTACGCTAATATCATCAGGTGTATATCAATAATCCAGAGTCCGTCCACAAAGTTATCGCGGTCCAGATACAGAGATTGAATGTGAAATTGGACATCCTTCCAAGCTTTTCCACGCCGTAGCAGGACAATGGTCCAAGACGGATGACAGCATTGGCTGTCGAGAATACCAATGGTCTTGGGAGACTGGCAGGAAGACTTTCATCTCACTGGACTTGTTGATCCGAAATGTTGACTGGAGATGGTTGCGACGAAGGCGTCGAGCTCCCAGATGGCCCACCACAATCTGTGAAGGTCTTCCATGTGTACCCACGCATCCACGTCTTGTAGGTTGTCTTCACCGCTTCCATCATCACCGATACACCTCACGTCAACCATGTCCAACCCTAGATCGTACGCATAGTAAACACATATGCTCGTGAGCATAGAACCTTGTGCAAGTTCACCAGCCGTTATGTAATGGTATGCCAGCAAAACACAGCCTTTGGCGAATTCCAATGTCGGTTCCTCGATAGTGTTAATCATGGTATCCTTGATCAAAGTCGCACTCCTGGCAAACTTTCGCCCGCGTTCTTGCACCGGAGTCGTTTCAAAATAGGGATGTGTCGAGAACCTTGCTGCCAGCGAGAAAATGCCATTGATCATGAAGACTGCCGCTTGTCCGAGTTCTGCAGCTGGCCGGATATTTTAATTCAGGGTCTGCAGTGGCCATGTACTCCTCATGGAAGATTGGACGATGTAAGATGCTAAGCCAAGGTTGAAAATCGGCGAAATATTGATCGATGCTAGAACCTAGTAAGATTTTTGACCGGTGCAAGTATGTCTATGGGAATGCTCACATTTCGACCGCCGCTTCATCGGGTATATCCCAACCGTTAGGTTCGTTTGCTTGGACACTTCCATAACGAATGCTTGATCCAAACTCTGACAAGGGCGGCTGTACATCAAGGCTGATATTCCCCACGCTTGAGGGGCTCTCACTCCTTATACTTGGCAAAGATACGGTTTCTGGAAGTTCGATTCTAGAGTCGCGCTGGCCGCTAGAGGAGTGCGTAGAGACTTTTGCTGAATCATCCACTTGGTGCTCACTCGTGAAGGATTCTTGTGATCCTTGTAACAAGGTGTTCGAGTCTAACACTCGGAAAAAGGAGGTTGCGAGGCGATCAAATCCATCACCACCACCTTGATGATGTAGCGAACCATCTCCGTCGACAGTGCCGTTGATATTGTGACGCAGTATTGTTGCGCTTTGGATTCTTTGGAGAGGTGGTGCTACCACGACATGGCTTCTGTCTGACTGGGAAAGTGCACGAGGGCTCCCACCTTCTTGCAAAGGCCGCAATATGGACGCCCCATATCACCTGGATTGTGGAGTTAGAGGTGATTGAGTTCAATGACCTTCTTCTCGACTTACATTTGATTTTCTTCCTACGGCAGGTTTAGGCATCGGCAATAAAACCATCAAGGACGACCCTTGTGTACTCACCTGCTGCAGCTTTGGCAAGCTCGATTCACCGTCGGGGGATACTTCCTTTGTCTCCATATGCCACCAGGATTACCAGTAGAAATTTGTGCTTGGCCAGTCATTGTTACTTCAGAAACTCGAGTGGCTACAACTTTGCGGAGTCGATATTTGGTGAAAGGCATCAGTTCAGTCAAGTAGACACACAATAATTCGATACAGAGGAAAAGTTTAGCAGCTGTTATATCACGTCCCCGGCAGTGACCCGGTATAGGACGGCCACCGGGGTCTGCGGGACCGTCACCAACCGTACTTGTGGGACTGAGCACACGCGGGGAAATGGAGCCATGGTGTGGTGCGCGGAAAAATAATGTTCCGCTGTTTGTTTGTCGTTGGTGGCTGATAATCCAGAGACAATTGGACGTCCCTCCACCGCTAATGGTTAAAGCTTAAAGTGGTTGCGTTTGCACTCACTCCCCTTGCTCCCTCGGTTTCGCACTTGGCAACTAGAATAACTTGTTTGATCATCAGATTCAACGCCGAACGTCACGGAAAGACGAAATTTGGTCTCAATGTAGACCATTCTCTGACAAGCAAGTCGCCCAACTGTGACTCAAAACTCTGTATTCCATTCCATTTCAATTCTGAGGGGCAGCAGGAGGTAGAGGATAGCCACCCATCTCTTGGACGATGGCTCGAAATCCAACCAGTGCTTCAAGCAGATCCTCGCCAAACCAAGTTGGCAATACCTCATTCCGCGTGTGCTCGAGTTCGCGAACGAATTTGCCCGCAACCTAAAGCCCCCACGCCAGTATGTTTAGCTGACCCTGTACCCGACATTCTTTTGGGGAGTTTCAGGCCCCCCCGAGTCTCGACTTACCAAACAACATGCGCCACTGCAATTGGGATCCAGAGTCATAAACGAGATGGCTTCAGCGACTTGTGCCGCCGTGTTACTCGCGACGCCCGCCTTTTCGAACCGGTCACCAAAGCCAGCTGTGATGCGCGTCCGGGTGAAGCTCGGAGCAATGGCATTCACTCTGATGCGACTCTTTTCGGCGAGTGGTTGAGCTGCCCGCAGTAAGCCCAAAATCCCATGCTTTGAAGCAACATAAGCGGCGTTGCCAGAGAAGCCAAAATATCCCGAAGTTGATGTTACAAGAATAATCGATCCGCGATGGTGGTGTTCTGTCAAAGGATTTTTGCCAATATAATGCATCCCCAGTCGTAATGCTGTGTGGTAGGAAGTTTCATCAGTTGGGTGTTTCATGTGCACCGAAAGCAAAGCAAAGCCAGATCGACGCACTGTCCAGGGTTCCTTTGAGGTTCACATCGATGACATTGCTTGCTTCTCCAGATACGGCTGGATCTCCATTGGCATCGGCCTCGACCTCGAGAACGGCTCGGCTCTCCATGATGCCAGCATTCGCAACGACGATGTCAATCCTTCCAAACACTCGTATTCCCTCCTTGAAAGCATGCACAAGCTGGCTCCATTCCGTCACACTGGCTGGTACGAAGATTGCACGTTCTGGGAATTGCATCGACTGAATCAGCGCCTCTGCATCTGGCCCGGCTGATGGTAGGTCGGTAATGACAATGTTGCTGCCATTTTTATTGAGAAGAGAGGCTGTTTCGCTACCTATTCCACGGGCTCCCCCTGTGAGCAGCGCAGTCCTTCCTTGTGCGTCGTCGAGGAGATCACGGGCCCATGACATCTGATGCATTTCTGAAAGAGCCTATGGCCGCGTACGTTGGGAGGACAATCCGTCACAATGGAAAGGAAGAATGACGCTGAAAGAAATAGGAATGTTCTAAGGAAGAGTGCTTTGATGCTTTGAAAAAATAGGAGTACTTCGTGGTGCTTTGGAGTGAGATTGCAATGAGCTTGTCTCTCCCATCCCCCTTCATACTCGATTGGGCCTATGTGGATCGGGTAGTAATAAGGAACATGTGCCCGTACTTGGTGCCGTAGACCCAATGTGTCCTCGCGTCACGATGGGTCCCACGTGTAGTATTCTGGACGTAGAGATCTGCTCCGCAAATCCGAACTGTCTGATGAACTCGCCGTCTTGGCATCACTGGGACTAGAAAGGATACAAGGGTCGGATCCTCGTTGTAGCAGACACTAAGCAGTAGTTACCTGCATGTACACTGTACCTGAGCATGGGCTCTTCGAGCTGCTCCGCATTTCTGGGGTGCCGTCCACCCCGCCGATTTCAGATTTGAAGGGAGCATAAGTCCGGCAAAGCCGCATCGGTTGATCGACATAGAAATATTGTACGCAGTGCTGACCAGACTGATCGCATATATGTATAGACAGAAACCAAGACCAGAACGCTTCAAACCGTTCCCCTTTCTGTCTCTCTCTCTCCTTCCCTCGCTCCCTCTGATGACGTTTTTCTTCCTCTCTTCCTCTTCATCTTACCTTTTATACTAGACTGTACTATCGTACCGGAAATACCTCTAAAAGTCCTCGAAAAGTCCTCTTTATGCCTACTAAGAGCCTACTATGGCCCTCTGGGGCGTACTAAGCCAAGCACCCCCAGAAGAACCAGCATACGAATCACGCATCAGAACAGCAGAGTCTTAAAAAGACAAGTCGCAAGAAGAGAAGAAGACAAGTCCAAAGTTGTATTCAAGAGCAGGTGGGGCAGCACTTCTCGCGCGCTGCCGGGTATTGTTCTTTTTGGTCCATCCCAAACCCATCCTGGATATCCATCCAATAACATAACATAAACTGACTTGTCCCCGGTTGTTCGTCCATCCCGTCGCACATGATCCGAAAAACAAGAAACCCATGCCTGATTGCTGAATTTGAGGTATCTGAAAAAGAAGAAAAAAGACTGCAAGTTTGATCCCCAAGCCAAATCTCCTCCTAATGTACAGAATCGCTTCATTTCCCTCCCTTCAAAAGACCCTGAACATAAACTTCCTCCCATTCACTCTTCTCGGTTTCGCGATTCAACCAGTGAAATATCCCTTCCCCACGCAGGGGAGCTTCATCAAAGTCGTAAGACATCGAGCCATCCGTGCTTCCTATTAGGATCCCGCTGAATCACAGGACGCCATGCTGATAAACAGTTCGCCAAACACTTCCCATGGGACATTTCGTCCCCACCATCGCCACCCAGAAAACACAAAACGCAAATCGTAGAATAGGTACGGGCCTTGAACAGGTTACTTTTGCGGGCTCACATATCCAACAGATCGTGTACCAGTGCTTTATGCTGCTCAGTCCAGGTTTCTGGATGATCGAGGTCCACGCCTAGAGCTTGAAGATGAATCTGTGCATTCGACAGTTGTGGTTTTTCGACTGGTTCGAATGGAGAGCCGTCCTCGCCCATCATGACATCCAGATCATTGATGTTTTCGAAGGGAGACATGTCTTCAAACCCACTGAGATCGAGACCCTCAATTCCATCAAGGTTGACCTTCCATTGATCGTCTTCGGCCTTTCTCTCCACTGTGTCCTTTTTGTCTTCACGCGATGCCGTCGCGGCCGAACCCTCTTTGTCGCTGGCCATCTCTGGGCTCTTGGACTTTTCGGTAGAGGTGTCGGTCAAGGCGCCATTGGGCCCTTCCACTATCTTCTGCCATCGTTCGCTGTTGTTGCGGTACGCCTCATAGAACTTGGACTGTTGTTCAAATAGTTTTTCTTCAGACGGAAAGAGCTCGTCCCAGTCATCACCTCCAAAGGCGACACGCAATTGATCCAACGTGATATTGCTGTGTTTCCACGGGTCGTCATCTTCCATCGAGACATCACTGTCTCTGATAGCCGTGCCGGCAGCCCCTTGGCTGGGAATCTTGGCCATGGGGACAGGCGTATCCGCAGCACTCTCATTCTTAATGTTGCTCGCACCTGTAGCCTTGCCCTCAGACTTGGGGAAGGTCTTTTTGATCTGGTTGAAGTTTTCGTCCAGGTTGAAGGCAGAGCGCAGCGAATCATGGAGAAATGCAAGGGGATCAGTGACAGGCTCCATGTCCAGCTTGTGGGCGACATTGTGGTGGTGATCAAGTTCGGCTTGAGTTGCAAACCCTTTGAGCTGATGATCGCATCCGTTGATTGGGCACCTAAACATCTCGGCAGGTTTGGACGTTTTGGTCGTCTGTGGTGAGGTGACCACGGTAGGGGTCGTCGCAGTTGTACTTGCAGGCTGCTGTTGGTTCTTCTTCCGCC